CTATTGATTAAAAGTAAGGTTACACCAGTTTTTGATAATTTGGCTAATCGGAATTTTTTAATAACACGATTTTTCAAGACAATTTGGCTGTTGTAGTGATGTTTGTATAAACCTCTATTATTCTTCCATAGTTGCATACTTGCATGTAACCGTTAATGCATGTACGATGAAAATTCCTAAATTAACACCTTTTCCTTATTAAAGGATCTAAATAACCCCAAATTAGATGAATTCCTAGTTTTCGCTTTGTATGATACTTGACTGCTTGAATATTGGAACAGGATGCGATGGATAGTCTAAAACATTACATCACCTATAATTCAAAATAAAGCAATCCATAGTACCCGTAAATTTGAATTTCCTCTTCGTAGCATCTTATATGCAACGTAATTGTAACTTCATTGTATTTAACATTCACTATCCACTTAACACTATTCCGTTTTATAATTACACTATTTAGTATTTTCAATTTTCAACTTAGTATGAGACTTTGTTGGACTTATTAATAATAATAAAAAAGATCTTGCTAACAAAGCATTTAATACATTTTTTTTAAGTGATTTTAATTTGAAAATGCATGTAAAAATCACGCCTGAATAATAATTAAAGATATTAATGGAGATCACGATAGACATCAATAATGGGACGATTGTTGGTTAAATTTTGCATTTGGGACTTTGGACACTAAAAGAGATGTTAGGCGTGTTTTGGGTACAATAAAAAATTGTTGCGTCAATAGTCCTTGAACTTGATAGAGTTTTATTGTGTGGGAATTTTTGTCATAGAACTCATCAACTTAGTATAAGCATTTGCTATTATATTTTGATTGGGTTTTTACATGATTTTTGTGAGTATATCTGCACTTGGGTTAGATATACTACTATCGGTTCAACGTCACCTAATACATATTTTAACGTAAGAGGTCATTTATTAGTATACTATTTAAAATTATTTCAATTTCCTAGGATGAAGTGATAGATTTTAGTTGTAATGTAGAAGCTTTCAATATTTAAATTTTAAAATTGTTAAATATGATATCTCTAAAAAAAACAAAAATAAAAATAAAAATGACATGATCCTTGTATTTAGGCGGAATTGTTTTTATTAAAAGAGCGACATGTTATGAGTATATCAACCGCAACTCCAGCGATAGTGTCAGAAGTTCAACTGATCAAAAGGCTCAGAGCAATCAGCGCGGGTCATGGCGCCATCATCCCTACGAAACCTCAGGTAGATCATGTTGTTAATAGTGTGTAGGAAGGACAAGTTGTCGATGCACTAGAATACCCTGAAATATCAGAGTATGGATTCGACGTCGACATGGTAGCAGTGCTGAACGCACTAGAGCCATTAGGAAGCAAGGTTCGTTGGCCAATGAAGAACAACAAGCCAGATTCAGAGAAAGATATGAGCAAATGGTGCGAGTTCCACAGTGACCATGGGCACAAGACAGAAGACTGCTATGCTTTAGTACGAACGGAAGTGGCCTTCCAGCTGAAGAGAGGCAATCTCAAGCACCTGATGGGCAAGAAGAAAGGCAGCGACGCCAAAGCCGATTCAACGAGCAAGCTGCCCAAACCGCCTGCACCGTACCTACGGTAGTAGTTAATGTTATCTTTGGTGGTTCAGATATTTGTGGACTAACCTATTTTGCAACTAAAAGAATTGCAAAGACGTTGTCAAGTGATCCTGCCATCCCGGAAGAAGCAAGAGATCCTTTGGAAAAGAAGCTCGAAGCAATGCCCATCACTTTTGACGATGATGATATCAACAACATCAACAAAGAGCATGAAGACTCCCAGGTCATTTCATTGATGGTTGGGAATTGTCTGCTTAAAAGGGTGCTAATCGATGGAGGAAGCTCCGCAAATGTTCTATTCCAGAAGACCATGGAAGAAATGGGGTTGAAAGATAGCGACATCACTATAAGGTCAACAGTGTTGGTCGGTTTCAGTGGCGAGACAATATCAACTATCGGAGACATAACCCTACCCACCTATGCTAGCGGTCTAAAGCCTCAAACCAAATTTAACGTCGTAGACTGCCCCTCAGCCTATAATGCCATCATGGGCAGACCCTGGATTCACAAACTAAAATCCATTCCCTCCACCTACCATCAAACTCTCAAATTTCCAACCCCCTGAGGAATCCAATAAATAAAAAAGAGAACCCCGTGAAGCCAAAAATTGCTACAAAACAACCTTGAAACCATGCATGAGATCCACCTAGCAATCAGCAAGGCCCGACACCAGACAATCCCTACGACCTAAATATTGACGAAATACCCCTAGACCCTGAAAAACCAGATCAAACCGTCCGTTTCGGAGCCAACCTAACACCCGAACTCAAAAAAACCATCTTAGCCTTTCTCTGAAAGAATAAAGATTGTTTTGCCTGGTTGCATGAAGACATGACGGGCATAGATCCAAGCGTCATCTCGCACAAGTTAAATGTTGATCCAAATGCCCGTGAAGCAGAAGCGTCGAAAGTTCGCCCCAGAAAGAAATAAAATTATCAACGATGAAGTGCTGCAGTTGATCGACATAAGGGAAATGCCACGAGTCAAGGAGTTAGCTCCGGAAATCAAGGGAAGCATCTTATCATTCTACAACGGCTACATTAAATCCTAGGCATCATCTATATAAGGAGGAGAAACCATCGACATTAGATACACTGCAACCTAGTTACTAAATTCCACTTATCATACATTGTAATCATTTTCGTTCGATCTTTTACATAGTGAAAGTTTGGTAGATCCTCATTCTACCTGCGATTTTTACCTTTGGGTTTTTCGCATCACCAATTCCTCGTGTCATTTACTTATTTTGTTATTGTTTTCATTTAAGGTTTTGTTTAGTTGATTCGTAACCTAGATTTTGCTATTCAATTCCACTTGACGAAATTTAGCATAAACAGTGACGTCAACATACTCTGTTTTAGTAATAGGTAATAGAATAGATGTCATAGCATTCAAATTATTATATATATTTTTTTTTTGAAACAACATACAAATGATTTTATTTTATTATTTTCCCCTCAAATAAAACCTTGTATTTTTTATTTTTTTTCACTTCTTTTTTCCCCCTCAAATAAAATCCTTCAAATATTACGTTCATAGAGTTGATTAAGATGCACCACAAAGTTAAATAATTCATTTATCCAATTGATAGTATAAGGGCTAAACTTATCCTCAAGACAGACTAAATGTTGTCTTAATCTAGTTCAAGTAGTTTTGTTATTAGTTCTTATCACTAATGACTGAGTCAATGAGTAATTTATAACAAATACAGTGGATACAATTCCTGCAATCATGCCATGTGAGAAAATGAGAAACAAAGCAAGTGGCCCATGTGGTTTAATCGAATATGCAAATTGCTCTGCATTTAGCATTCCCCCACATACAGCTCGTCTTCCAGCCATGTGTTAAACAAAGCAAGTGGCCCAATTGGGCTGACTGAGTCCATCTATTGTAGCCCACTTTCTACTATAGACTAATCAGCAAGGGGGATTTCTATCCAACATAGCCCATTTTCGTCTAACAACAACCACCCAACCATCAATTTATTTATTTTTTTGGGCTCGTACATCATATTCAACTTTGGCCCCAAAACCTATAAGAGCCGAGGAAACCTCATTTATCACCTTGATATCACTAGGGAGGCTAACGCGCGCGATGCACATTATTGCTAGTCATATTTAGAGGGAGTCTTTCAATTGTTGGCAATATTAATGAGGAAAAATATGTAAACAAATATATTTAGGGGTATAAATGTCCGCACATTATTCTTAAGATTTTTTAAAAAAGCAATTAACATTAATGAGGGCAAATAAGTAAATAAAAAATTTAGAGGGTATAATTGTCCAAACGCTATTTGTTATGGGGTAATTTTGTACATTGGTTGACCGACGATGATAGTCAATGACCGACGACGTGAGACCAAGTCAAGATCGTTATGAGTGCTCCCTAAAATAATGGAGAAAATTTATGTCACAAAGAATAAGTCATGGAAGTTGTTAAACATATATACACCCTAAACAAGTCCACATTCATCAGAAGACCAGGTAAAGACGTCAACAATTATTTCCTATTTTCATGGAGGACACCCTCACCACTCTCCAACAACCTACCTAAATACCTTATAAATAGAATCACTTCCCTTTCATAAAGACCAAACCATTTCCCACGTATAACATGCATTTTCCCTTTATAATCATTTTTCTTTAGATTCCACTCCACTCATCCATGATTAACCCCATATACATTATCTGCTTTATTTATTCTAAACCTTCCTCATAATCCCAAGAACAACCGTAGCATTGTGATACATAGAACAAGCCATTTGATCTTCCACCACATAGATATTCCACTACAAATACCCCCACCATGCTACTATATTTTAATCTTTTGTATACTATTGCAAAGATATATTTCTACACACAATACTACCAGGGGAGAGCGTGGGACGGGTACCCGTTCCAATAACGTTATTGGTTCGGTAACCCGATAACCGTTAAGGCTAAAACCGATACCCGAAACCGTTCCGATAAGGTTCGGGTACCGACAAATTCTGATACCCGAAACCGTTCCGATAAGGTTCGGGTACCGACAAATTCTGATACCCGAAAATGCGGGTACCCAAACCAAATATCCGAACCGATCCAATAAGCTACTTTTTATTTTTGGGTCTTTTAATCTATTTAACAGCTGCTTAACAATTGGATTTTAGATGTTTTTTACTAGTTTTTTTTTACTTCCTATTGTTTGAACTATAACAACTGAACCTGAATACACAAATAACAAAAATAATTACAACTATCGTTGCCTTCCGCTTTGGCGGCCTACCAATCCCTCTCCTTGAGGCTGCTGCCTCCTTCTCACCCTCCTTGTACCCACCACATCAACCTATTTAATAATATTTTTCTTCAAATTCCCACCTGTTTTTCTAGCATTATTATTGTTAGTGCTCTGATATTTTTGTAACAAATAACAACCTGATAGGTTGATATTGAACCTGAATACACAAATAACCCACCACATCAACCTAATTACAAATGAACTAATACCTGATACAAACACAGTTTCTTAAAAAAAAAACGTCCATAGTTTTAAAAATAATAAACTGATACATAACAAAAAAAAAGTCCATAGTTTTAAAAAAAAAAATGTCCACAGTATCATAATTCAGAAAATAATTCCAAGCCTTCAATGACTTCAGCCTTCAATAGTTCAATCACCACCAACCTTCATACTTATAACAGTTGCTGCCTCTAATCATCATCAACAAAGAGGGATTGTTCCTTACCAAGAGGTAACATTTCTTCAAAAAAAAAAAAAAAAAGTTAAGGAATAATTAATAGGAAGATGATGAGATTAAAAAAAAAGAGAAAATATTTAAATATTGCAAGATTCAATTTTTTCCATATCTTCAAGTCTTTCCTCAAGTATAAGAGGACCTTGAGATGTACGTAACGAATCCTGTGCACAAATCAAGGCTTCAACCATCTTAGTTAAGAGTGAGCTGCGAAATGAATCAAGCACTCGACCACCGGTGCTAAAAGGTGATTCGAAAGCGACTGTTGACACGGGAATGGCAAGTACATCTCTAGCCATGAGAGCTATTGTTGGGTACCTTTCACCATATTTTTTCCACCACCCTAAACAATTAAAGCTTTTTCCGGCAGGATTAACTTCTCTATCATCTTCTAAATACTTGGCCAACTCATTTTCCCCTTGTACTCCAACACATGAACCCACCTCCTTTTCAAACTCTAATTCCGCATCATCTACATCACAATCCATATCTTCTACTTCCTCCAGAAAATCAGAAGTTTTAGGGGGAATAGACTCATTTGGAGGGTTTTCAAAATCATAAAGTTCATACATGTCATTCAAAGTTTGCATCACTTTATCACACAAGTACTTAGCTATTTCAGAATCATATTGTTGATTAATTGCCCATTTAGTATATCCCATTTTCCGCCTAGGATCAAGAATGACAGCAATATACAACAAGAGATTCACATTATCATCAACATTTTCCCAATACTTGTCATGTTTTTTCTTCATTCCATTGGCCATTAAACTCACCCCCACATCATTACTCAACACTTTTTTCTTGATTAACACACTAATCCCAATAAGTTCTTGTAAATACACATTAGAGGTGATATACAACGAGCCGGAAACTCGTAGAGTAGCATCATAGAATATTTTAAGTAAAGGAAGAAAAGAGGCAACACGATCCCAATTACTAGGTTCAGGCACCCCATCTGACTTATGTAACTCATACCTAAATTTACCACCATCTGAACATTCAAGCAAATCAAAAGCCCTACGATATGCCAAAGCACCTTCCAACATCAAATAAGTGGAATTCCACCTAGTAGCCACATCTAAACAAAGAAAATGTTTTGACTCCAACTTTTCTTGTATAACACAACTCATAAACTTTTGCAATCTAGCACCCGATGATCTTACATACCTAACACCACAACGAATTCTTTTTATTGACACATCACTTTATTTCAATCCTTCTTTAACGGTTAAACTTAATATGTGAGCACAATCTCATGTGTAAAAACCGACCACCCAAAACTAATGTCTTCCAACTTTAACCTCCTTTTCAAATATTGAATGCCAACATCATTTGAACTTTTCATTATCTACAGTGACAATCATTACTCTAGAAATACCCCATTCAAGTAGACACTTTTGGACAGATTTACCAATTGTTTCACCAGAATGACGAGCAATTATACAAAAGTTAATTATTTTTTTGTGCAATTTCCAATTTTGGTCAATAAAGTGAGGGTTAAACACATGTAATTCATATTTTGGAAAGAAGTCCAAGTATCAGTGGTGAGACTTATACGTGAAGTGCACTTGCTAAAAAAACTTTTTAAACTTTTTTTCTCATCCAAATAAATCCTAAAACAATCTCTAGTCACTGTCCATCAAGAAGGAATAATGAAAAAGGGTTGTGTTACCTTCATAAAGTTGCGAAAACCTTCATGCTCCACCATTGGAAAAGACATTTCATCCATAATCACCATCTTTGCCAAAGCTTTCCTACTATCTTCTTGATTGAATTTCCACAACTCAAGTCTACCTTTTTTTATCCACAAGATTCCCATCAAGAGTTTGTTGACTAAGGGACAATAGTTGCTGATTTTGATCAATGTTTGGGGGGTATTCCTTACACCGCTTTATGTGGTTCTTCATGCCGGAGGTACCTTGAAGTGATGCACAGCCAATTAATGTATGACAATAAATACATTGAGCCTTGTTTTCTCCATCCTTCTTTATAAAATGCTCCCAATGAGAAGAGCGCCTTTTTCTAGTTTTTTTTTGAAGTTTCACTTAAGGGGGTAGCAGCATCAGCAACTTCAGAAGGTTGGTTTGATTGATTTTGCTGCTCAAAGGGGTCATTATTTTCCGTCATTGAACAAGGGTCATACTCCTAAGGCTTGGGAGGAGGACTTGGAATTGGAGGAGCTTGACTTGTAGCCGATGAGTCTTCCATATCCCCACTACCAGATTCCATACACTCCTACAAATGAAAAAAACAAATAAGTTCAATCATGTATACACAAATAACAAGAATGAGTCATAGTTATGCGAGGGTTGAAAAGGTGAACATCCAAGACATATGTTTATTAGAAACATACATGACAAACACTTTTCCATGTCACACAATCATAAAATCTCAGACAAGTGAAATAAACGAAGTATTGGTACAACTACATCATAAAATCAGTCTGTGAGCCTTGCAGTACCATAGGCAAGTATTAGCACTTAGGCACTCTCTTTGATACACAAATTAGAAACTGAAAGTTGTCATAGTCAATGTTACAGCACATGAATTGAAAGGCTAGAATGTGGTCTCATATTTAACTAAACTCCAAATTCCCAAATTCTTGTTCGGCTAACCTTTCCTATTGCTATTCAGGTATGAAACATCAAGATGAGAATGCATATTAAAGAGCAGGAGTGTATGTCATAATACTCAGGCATATTAGTAACTTTACAAATATTTGCAAGAAAGGCAACATGGACAGGCAATGGACAGCAAAGAGGAGTATAACATGCAATGGTACCACTGATTATCTCAGTCTGATGCACATTACGGCTACTCATATTAAAACTAAATTAAGATTGTGAGATAGAACAAGATACGACAAATAGACAAATTCATGATTGTTCTTACTATCAGCAACATCAATCCCGGTTTTTTCTCAACAACCTTTTTCCACATCAAAACCAAAAATCCCACCTTACTCATCCAAATCTAACAGACACAACTTGACAAAAAAGAAAATAATTGCCCTCAATTCTGAAAACCAAAATTAGTATCATTCCTAAAAAAAAAACAAAATAATAGTATCACAATAAAAAAATCAGGAAAAAAAACCAATTATGAATCCGAAATCAAACCACAGATAATATAAAATGTAAATTACCTTCAGAGTTGCTTCGATGGAGGAGTGAAACCTCATAAACCGCTTCAAAGGAGAAGTCGAAGTACGCTTCAATGGAGGAGATGAAGGGGTTAAGCGACGCAGCGTAAACGTGAAAAGGCCCCAAAGTTCGAAGAACCCTAAACTGAATCAACGATCTGGGAAAACAAGAGTTTAGGGTTAATTGAATTCAATCAATTCATTGCAAATAATTAGATCTGGGAAAGGGATAATTACCTAAGGTAACCGGCTAACCATTGGCAAAGAACAGACTTGGAGAATGGAGATCAGAAAACCAGAGATTAGAGAAGAGGAAGAGAGAGAGGGGGATGGAGGCTGAGTCAATGACTAAGAAATGAGAAAAGAACGAAGATTAGGGTTTTTCACTTTTTTGTTTCATTAATTTTCTGTTTTTTTTTTATTTTTTTTATTTTTAAAAACTCACATTTGAGATTTTCGGGTAATGGCTAAAAAAAAATAAAAAAAAAAAAGATTTTCGGGAAATTCGGGTACCCGAAACAGCGTTAACGGGTACCCGCTACTCGTCCCGTTAAATTCTTAACGGTTCGGTTACCTGTCTCGTTAAATTCTTAACGGCTCGGTTACCCGTCCCGTATTCTTTAAATGGTTCGGGTACCCAATTTTTCGGTTCGGTAACGGTCGGTTTTTCGGGTTTTCGGTTTTTCGGATAATTTTGCTCAGCCCAAAATACTACACCTAATCAATCTCCCTACCGTAATACACTAGTCCTACGCGTAATATACATACACTAATTTATACTCTCTTATGTCATCAAGCGTTAAATACACATTGTAATTGTAAGTATTGGCTTTATGCTCATATTATAGTGGATTGATGGACTCATTGCCTCTCGCGGTCTTAATCGGGGTTTTCCGCGTCACCATAGCGTGTCTCCCTTCTTTCCCTTTATTTTTCTGTCATTTACTTTCCGCATTTTATGTTCCCTTTTTTAATTTAGTTGTTCCGTAGCCCGTATACCCACATCAAATCCTAAGTGCGAAATTTAGTATAAACAATTTGGCGTCGACTGTGGAGATGCAGCTAGATTAAAATCTCAATCCTACAAAAGTTCCTTTCTAAACACAACCAAACACATTCCCATCATCAAGATATATCCAATCCCATAAAGTGATTTTAACCACATCAGAATTGATTGTAGTCCCAGGGTCGAGATGATGACGTTGGCTACGTTTGCGATGGGATGGTGAAGTCGACGATGGAACGGTATCGTTGTAACGGAATGGTAGCGTCGACAACGATGGGACGGTGTCGTCGTGACGGAACGGTAGCGTCGGTGACGACGGGACAATGATGTCGTGATGGGACGTTGATGATGTGACGGGATGATGACGCCATGTGACGACTGTCAGCGTCAAGATGGTGATCTTCAACAGCGAGATAGCAATCGACGTCAAAGTGGCGACAGACACCAACCCAACTCAAAATGCTGCAACGAGGGCGATTATCCTTGACGGCGTTAAGAATTTTGGTAATGTTCTTCTTTTTGGTTTAATTTAACTAACAATTTTTATGTCTTCTTTAAGCTATGACAGACTATATCGTCATCAACAAAGTAAACATCACACTGAAAGGAAAGGACGTCATGGAAAACGCCGCTTTAAGTCACGGGTCTTGCGATGTCACGAAAATTTAGGGTTTGCCGTCATACACAATATTATTTTCATTTAACTAACGTTATTTTTAGGCTATGTTGTCGCTGAAACAAGTATTAAAGTAGTTAAGTGACGCCAACCATCAATGTTGACGCCAATAAGGTCATTGCGGTCATCAATCAGCAATTTGACGTCGTCAACAACAACTCGACGTCATCTGTCACCAGTTAGTGCCGGCGACGACAGCTAATTTCGACAACAATAGTCAGTTTCGACGACGACAACCAGTGTCGACGTTATCAATCAGTGTCGACGACACCAGTTAGTAACTACATCAGCAACCTAGTGTCATCAGTTAATGACGACATGAAGACAAATGTAGCTTTAATGATGATGCAAGTAAGCTTTTACCTAATGCAAAATTCTAATTTTTTACATGAGACACTCTATTCTACAAATATTTTCATTAACTTTTATCTATAATACCAATTATATATCATGACATTAGCTTAGGTAATGCTTAGATATATCTTGTGATGACTAACCTATGTACCAAGCGTATTTTTAGATATAGTAAGATTACATGTGGAGATTCATAACGTTAATTGATTGTGATATCGGAATATTGTCATCAACAACAACAAGTTGACGGTAACATTATATTTTGTGGCTAACTTCATTTCATATTATTTGCTTTTTCATGAAGTTATCACAAGGGGGAAGATAGTATACATCGAATATAAATTTAATGCTTTAATTATTTTTATTATTCTTTGATTATTGAAAATTCTCAATGCTCTAATATTTAATGCTTTGCTTATTATGATTATGTCAATACTTTTTGATTTTAAAATGTTTTAGTTCTTAATGCTTTGATCATTTTACTTTGATCAATTGTTATAATACTTTGTTTTTATTCAATCTTTATGCGATTACGAATATTTAATGCTATTTCAAATATATATGATGAAGTATGACATTTGTAATGATTCCATGATCAATTAACAACAAGTTGGCATATGAGAATGCTCTTGTAGGTAATTTACCAATCTAGAATATGACACCGGGGGCTAGACTTGACTTACATCTTCTCGAGTGATCCAACATTGGGGGCTCAAATTAAATGACTTCTTATCAAGGTAAATATTTATTATTTAAAATGTATGTTGTCTTCCATCAATCATGTCACCAACCGTGGCAATCATCGACACCACCGAGGTACGCCACATTATCACTTTTAGTTTCTAAATTTACATTGTCATGATCATGCTCTTTAATCGGTTGCCTAGCTTAAAGTATTTATTTTTTCTATTGATCATCTTCACTTAACGTATTATTACTTTGATTTTCTAATTAGCATTGTCATTGACATGATTCTACCGCCTTAAAGTTTTACTTGTTATCTATATCATCTTTGTTGACGTAACAATACACATAGTTTGATAGTTAATTTATGTTTTCGTTACTTAGCCTATTTATTATTTTTAATTGGTTATCAGTAATCCTTGTGATGAAACATTTAGTTACACTTTGATTTATGAATCAATGTCATTTGCAATATTCAAATCTTTTTATGCGTCGTTTACACTTAGCATTTTCAATTTATTAACGACTTGATGCAAAATTCCGACATTAGTCTTTAGAGTGATGACGAACAGGTTACTCGACGCCGAAGTTAAGCATAATGATTTCAATATTATGTATGACAACACCATATACCTCGACGCCATGAATATGATTGCGTAATCAAGGATCATGACGACATGTGTGGAAACGAACTCAATGTCATGGTGATGACGACCAAGGGTCACGACAGCAAATTGTAGCGACATTGACAAAGGATTGGAATATCAGATGATTGTGATCAAGGGCCATGATGACACGAAAGTAAACTCTAACCCATTTAAATATATTTGGTTTGGTCATCATGTATGGTCTTTATCATTCTTGCTTTATGTTACCTACATATCAATGATATATGCTATTCTTAGAAATAGTGATTATTTTAACAACATATATCAAATGCTTACGATAAGTCACTAACTAAGGCGTCGAAAGAATAGTCATTGCTTTATCCTATATTTTGAAAAATGCAATGAACAACGATGTCAAAGGGAAAAATATTATGACCAAAGCTCCAAACAACAATTACTCACAAAAGTGTCGGTTACACTGACATCCCCAAAAGGGATGAGAAAAACTGCCGCTCAAAAGAACATTGTGTCAAACGAAGCTCGGGCAAAATAAACCCTAGCGTCAGACGCCAAACACCCGATACCTAAACTACCAGTTTAATCATGCGTGTTCAGCGTCAGATGCCAGGACGCAAAGGGTAGTGGCGTACAACGATGGCCATTTAACAATAGTATAACTTTTTTCAAAGTTATTCTTCAAAAGTACGCACATCGAAATGATTGATCGTCACGATTGATCGTAATCTCACAAAGCACACGAGTCCTAAAGTATATAATGTGTCCTTAGTGTCAATGAAAATCGTTTTAAAATTATATTCTTATATGCATTTGCATGTCCAACAATATTTTATCTGTGAAACATTTTATTTTTCATTATTTATGCTAAATTTGGTTTTCTCGATGACATATGCATCCGTAACATAGACACATAATGCTTAATGTCGGTGAATCTTTAATTTCATTAGAGTTTATCCTCCGATACTAAGTCATACAATGATTATATTCGTTCACAAGTCTTTATTCTCAACGATGTCATAAAAGTTATCACGTATGATAAACATTTTGTGCTTTAAGCGCAAGACAAAGCTATCGGATGCTATCTCCTTTCAATGACAATGTTTCAAAATGTTATTGGCTTTAACTCCAAAAAATTAGTTAACACATTAAGAAAATCTTTATAGATTGTATGTGGTCTCGCTGTCAGACACCACGTTGAAAAGAGTTTTTGTCGCCCAAATGGGTTTGACACCATATGTCCTGAAAAAGAGCTACTGTGTCATCGTTTATTTTTATATTCGTGGTTGTTAACATGATATTATGTCGAGACGGTTCAATTGCTCTACCTTCGAATTAAGCGACCTTAAAGCAACATTACAATCATCAACAGGTTCGGTTTAACCTAATGTCTTTCATATTAATGAATTATTATATTATCTTCTAACAATATGTTGATGCAGGATCAAAAGTAAGTACATTTGTTGTCTTATATTTCTTTTTATAATCATTATCCATATTTAAAGTTTTTCTCTACCATCTAATTATCCAAGTACTCAACCTATGTAACAACGTTTGAGATTTGGCATAATCGCCAGTGTACAAACCACACGGACATTAACGCTTTCTAGAATGGTCTTAGCACCCAAATTACCTGTTTTGGCCTTGTCGCCAGTTTATTATTTGTTGACAATCTCCGGCCAACGTCGTGACCATTTTCAAGACCAGACATCGACAAACTCCTTCCGACGTCGACGACTAGCTTCTGTCCGTCGTCCACGACAATTTCGTCCATCATCAACGACACCAGCTTCCATTTGTCGCCAACGAAAAGCTTTTGCCGTCATCGACGACACCAGCTTCCATACGTCGTCGATGACACCAACTGTCGACGTCGTCGACTAGCGTCTTACGTCGACGAATACCTTCTGATGTCGACGACTAGGTTCTATCGTCGATGACCTGTGTCTGCCGTTGACGAATACCTTTCGACGTCAGCGACCGGCTTCCAATGTTGACGACCAACTTTTGATGTCGACGAACAACGTCAAACATGACAGTACAACTACTTAAGATTGCATATGAACAAAGTGCAACATTAGAAAATGATAACAACGAAGGCATCAAGAGTTATGACACAAAGGCAATAACACTAACATTGAAATGGACGCAAAGTCAA